CTCTGCTGCTGTAGTTGAATCTCCCTTTGTCCCCAGCTCTAATGAGAACACTAGTGATTACATTTGGGCCCACCCAGATAACCCAGGGTTATATCCCCATCTCAAGATCCTTAACTTAATCACATTTTAATAGTCCCTTCTGCCACATAAGATAATACTCAGAAACTCCAAGGAATATATTGTAGATTTATAGTGGGGTTACTCAACCTACCACAGTATACGCTCTGGCTCCCAAAGTTAGTGTCTGTCTTACATACATTCACCTATTCCAACATTGCCCAGAGTCTCAACCGATTATATCATCAATTCAAAGCCCCAAATCTCAGTTAAATCAGGTATGGGTGACATTCAGACTCTGAGTATGATTCATCCTGGAAAAAATTTCTTTCCATCTGTGGACCTAGAAAACAAGTTATCTGCTCTGAAAATACAATGGTAGGACAGACAAGCTAAATGCTGTACACATTCCCATTTCAAAAGAGAAAAGAAAAATGATTAAATGAAGAAAGGACTCACTAGTCCCAAGAAATTTCAAAATCCAATCAGAAAAATTCCATTAGTTTTCAAAGCCTGAGGCTAATCCTATATAGTTCAAGTTGCCACCCTCTGTTCTTATCCTCTCTGCCCTTTGGGCCACAACTCTTTCCAAAGAATTATTTTGCTTGAAGGGTAACATATATTTGTTGGTTTTATCAGCAAGTTTTCCACTTGTAGAATTTTAGGAGCCCAACAGCTTTCTTTGGTTTCCTCTGTCTCTTCATTTTAGTCTAACCTGATGGTGTTTCCGCTGATATAACATTCTCAGAAGTTTTGTGGCTCTCTCATATATGCTATGGGAATTCAATTCAAAGGGTCCTCCAAAGATTTTTTTCTGGGTAATATCATCTCAATTTCTGGCTTCTGAAGAGATGGTGGGGAGATCCATGAGTGACAATCTAAATCTTCAGCTCTAGTGAAAGATTGTCCAGTCACACCCTTGGACTTCTCTCTAGTACATGATTTTTTTGACCACGAATGTCCTAATTTTTGCATCTGTTTCTATTCAGACAGGCTAAGAATCCTGGAGGGCAAGAACTGGGTCTTGTTTAACCTTGAACATATTATGCTACCTATCTGACTTCCAGTGGACATTTGATATCTTGAATTAAAGTATGGGATAAACACAGGGGACTAATGTTTATCTGTCTTGGGTCAGTTTACCCCAAGCAAGCTCTGAGACAGCAACTCACGGACAAAGATGTATTTGGGAAGAGTTCCTACATGAATCTAGTAGAAAACTGGAAGAAGCAGGGTAAGAGGGACTAGAATCTTAGCGATGCAATTTCAGGTGAAAGACAATTCTCGCCTGGTTTTAGATGCTCTGGGGGATAAATTACACTACAGAATCTGTCCCCCCTCAAGACCAGTGGGCTGGACTTTCACTTTCCTGCAAGAGACAATCATTAGCCATGGACCACCCCATGGTATCATAATCTCCTGGGTACTTGTAGCATTCTGCATACATGGTTGGAGAAACTCTAGTATCCCAAGGGTATGCTTCTAGGAAGTCATAAGTGTGGGCTTCTGGAAGAAAATCATGCAGCAGTGAGGTGTTGTGCTGCATAATGGTGAAGGGAACCCAGAAAGACCTGAGGGAGAGCAACAGCAAGAGCACCATCTCATAAATTGGCACAGCGGAACTGTAATGATGGGTTATGAAGTATGATACAATGAGCATACATTCTCTTGGCAGAAATAGTCCCTTACTTTTGTCTAAAAACAGTGCTGTTTCATACTGTTTCTTTATTTTGGAAGGCTTCTAAGAGATTAAGGATGTTTAGGTATTGAAAGAGAAGTCCTAAACACAATACTATATTCCATTTACCCCATTCCTTCCGTGCACCTCTGCAATCCCAACAGCCATCACGCTTTTAATTATGGGTTAGCAGATACTCATCATTTCCCTCTGATAAACCTGTTAATTGTTCTGACAGAGGAGCAAGATCACAAGGTGCAGTCCCATAGGACAACATGAGTGGTAGGGGTTATGACACTGGAGTCTCCTCTGACTTGAGCAAATGCCATCCACTTAACCCATTTGTCAGCTGGGGATGTCATTCTCACAGGTCACCTTCCCTAATGGCTCCACTTCTATTTATAGAACCAGCTGATTAGTGCTCATGGTCAGTGTGGATTTATGCTACTGGGAGGGAATGCACAATGTCCTTACAGCCTGCTGTTTATCCACACAGTGATAAGTGGAATTCTTCAACACCCTCATTTTCTTCCTGTTGATTCCTGGAGAGAAACAGGCAGATATCAGCTGTCATCCAACTTTTGCTGTGAGCTAGCTTTAGGCTTTAGATATAGATCCAAGTCCATACTCCTCAGTCAGAACCAGATACTACCCTCAATGAACTTAATGCTCTGAACTAAATTTTGTCCCTGCCCCCCCAAACCAAAACAAAACAAAAAACAAACAAACAAACAAAAAACCATATGTTGAATCTCTAACCCTTAATATGATATGATGATATTTGGAGATAGGGCTTTTAGAAAGTAATTAAGATTAAATAAGGTCATAGCAATGGGATCCCAACTCATTAGCATTGGTGGCCTAATAAACACACACACACACATACACACACACACACACACCAAAGATAGGCTATGCAAGGCCACAGTGAGAAGGCAGCCATCTGCCAGCCAGGAAGAGGGCCTTCATGAGCAACTCCCAGATCCTTGCTGGATCTGGATCTGAGAGTTCCAACCTCCAGAACTGTGAGCAAATAAGTACTTGTTTAAGCTACTCAGTCTATGATATTTTGTTATCGAGCTTGAGCAGACTGAGACACACACAGGGTCAGCAATGAATACACTGGCACAGAAAGTGAGGCTGCTGAGTCTGAGTCATTGGGAATGGGGTGGATTTGAGCTCACATCCCAAGGATTGATCTTCCAAACAGATATCAAAGCTCCACCAACCATCATCTTATTGTCTCATTAGATACCTGTCCAGGAACAGAGAAGTGACATGAGACCAAGTCCATACATTGTGCAAAAAAGGGGAAATCCCTCCTTTTCTGTATATACCCTTTGGCTGTGGGAGGGCAGAATGCCACAGAACTGGGCTGTGGACATAGCTCAGTGGTAGATTGTGTACTTAGCAGGTGTAAGGCATAGGGTTCAACCCCCAGCACCCCTAAAAAAAAGGAAAAGAAAAATAAATAAAACAACAGAACTGGAAACAGCTTTTTGATTCATTTTGGCTTGACCAACTAAGCAGATTGAAGATGGAACAAGTTTTACTCACTTGAGAAGAAACACTTAATGAGTGCTAATATTCAGTAAATTAATAGTTAAATTAGCATTAATTATTAATACTAACCTTTAGTGCACTGCCTAGAATGAGCCTGGCTATATGCCTCATGGTCACCTTGTTGCCAGAGAACAAAGAGCAATGATGGAGGCAGTGAGTGAACGGATCTGAGTCTGAGGTCAGTTAAAGAGAAGGTCTGACATGCCAGGCTTGTGCTTACATTACCCCAGATGATTGGTGAAATTCCTGAAGCAACCTAAACAGCAAGAACATTTTTTTCATATCTCTTCAAGAAGGTTTATAATCTTTAACTGTTTTTTTAAGTTTAAGTTTGTATTAATAGTTACATAAATGATTTTAAAAACAAATAAATTGTTGCATTTATGAAATGTAAAATTGCCCCAGTTGGCATTTTAGTAAATGATATCAAAGATGCAGATGCAGGTGATACTAAGTGAAATAAACCAGGCTTAGAAAGTAAATGGTCTAATATTTTCTCTTGTATGCAGAAGCTAGAGCAAAATAAGGAAAAAATGGAGTGGGTGGGGATTCTACACAAATAGAAAGGAGATCAGTGGAGCAGAGGAGTAGAGGAAGTGAATTGAGGAAGAGGAAGAGGGAGGAGGAAGGAACTGCAGAATGAAATTGACCAAATTATGCTATGTCTGTCTATCTGTGGATATGTATATACACACCCACACATACACACATACACACACACACACACACATATATGTATATATATATACACATATATGTATATATACATATATATCAATCACAATATTTTTTGTGTATCTATAAAGTATCAACTTAAAAACATAATGAATAAATAGAAGGAAGACCTATAGAATAGAGAAAGGTGATTAGCAGGAGGAGGAAAGAGGGAAAGAGGAAATATTGGGGACTGAAATGGAGCCAATTATATTCTGTGCATATATGAAAAAATAAAAATTAACCCTAGTATTATGCATAACTACATGCAAGAAAACATTAAAAAATAAACAAATAGACTTTAAAAAAAGGTTATATGTGAGTATAACTTAGGTTAACCAAAACAAAAAGATGTAAAAAATAGAGGATGAGATGAGACCATTCAAATGTATGTGCCTTCCCTGAGCACCACCCTGACCCCAGTCCTGAGGAAGTACACAAATTTGTATGTAAATCCTGGATTTGTGCACTCTTTTAATTTGATTGCCTTATTTCTAGGTTTTTTCCTAAAATCACAACTCAGTATTTGTTCTAGGTCCTGTATTTGGACTCTTCATTTTGTTCTCTGTTTTTTCTCATGGCAGTTGGTAGAACTCTTCCACTTGGGTCTGCTACTAAAACCGTACACCTTGACAAGTATGCTTGGTCACCAGGAGCCAATTCCCTTGAGGGTCATTTGCTTGCTCTGACTGAAGCAGCCACCTCCTTCCACCCCAAGAAGATGACAGATGAAGTATTTAGCTTAGGTGCTGACTGAAGGTGCCATTATGTTGGGAACCACTAAGCAGGCCATGGGAAGATCAGCAGCTCAGGTCCCAGGGAACAGCAGCAGAGTTCAATGTGTTCCCTTCTGAGTGTTGTGTCCTCACTTCTAGCTGAATGGGACTTGTGCTGGCCTGGTAATTAAGGTTAATGAGCACACTCCATCTGGAAGGTCAAAAGACAAATCTATTCTTTGAGTCCACATTCTTTTCATTTTCCCCAACAGGAAGGATCCAGAAGACACTGATAATCATCACCTGGGCTATGTTGGCCAGGTTCTGGGGCTCCATTCTGGTCCCAGACAAGATGGAAGTCACAAGAAAATCCCACTGAGGTCCCATGCCTATGATGGATGAGGTGTGTGATATCAATTTGAGGCAGACTCTGTGCCTGGAATTTCAGAGTCAGAGCTTGAGAGGCCAGACTCAGTCCTACTGTGAAACACAGGAGAATGAAGCTCAGCACATTTATCCTCATCTGAGAGTCAGTAAATGACCAGGTAAAATCCACATCGTAGGCCTCCAGGCACAGTAGGAAATAGAAACCTGGGCTTGATCCACGTTCACCTGTGGTGTTGCTCTGTGACTCTGGACAAATCCCTTCCTTTCCCTACTCTCCAATCTCCTCCTCTATGAAATGGAAGTAGGTGGCTAGATCATGTGTTAAGAGTGAAATCTAAGGAACCCTAGAAGTTTTAGGGGTCTCTGGAGTGTATTCGTGACTGTGGTACTTATGGAGAGAGTGAGAGATATGATTCTGAAGGTTAGGAATTACATGAGGATTTACTTCTTAAAAAACGAAAAGACCAAGCAAATATAGTCACATAATTATGCAGATTCTGCACCATGGAAATGTAGGTGCTTAGTATGTTGGGTTTTTTTGAACTTTTCTAAGGTTATAATTTCTCAAACAATAGAAAAATCAAAGCCGGATCAGAAGAGCCTCCCATCCCATCACAAACATGTGCACACAGCAATGTATGACTTATTTTGTGTTGTATGTGTAATACATCATATTTGAGGTATTTTTCTTGAACCCACCTCTTTGCTTTACAGAATTTCTTATCCTTCTTTTGTATATGTTTTAAAAAATTATTTTAATTAGGTATATATGACAGCAGAATGCATTTTGATTCATTATACACAATTGCAGCACAACTTTTCATTTCTCTGGTTGTACATGATGTAGTGTCACATAATATGTACAGAGAAGTGATGGGAGGGGAGGGGAGGGGAAGGGGGTAAGGGAAGGTCAGCAGAATAAAATAGACATTACTATTGCTGTATATATATGACTGTATGACCAATATGATTCTGCTCCCTGTACACTCAGAAAAATGAGAAATTATACCCCATCTGATTCAAATGTATGATATGTCAAGATCATTGTACTGTCATGTGTAACTAATTAAAACAAATGAAAAAAATAAAAAGACAAAGAAGGGTGAAGGGGGATGGAAGGGGGAAGATGAAATAAATAGGGAAAAGAAGGAAAGAAGACAGGAGGGTCTCGCAGGAGAGCACAGCCCATCCTTATCCCTTTTCAAATCCTGTCCTATTCTCTGGAATTCCAGTTAACTTGGAGAGGATGGACAGGGAGTGAAAGGGGAAAAGAACCTTCTGCAGAGCAAGAGAGACAGACAGACAGACTGGAGCAACCCAGGGCATCCATCAATCCCAGAAGCTGATGGCAGATGGTGGTCCCATCCAGATGAACAAGTGGGCAGTTGAATGAATAAATGAATGCATCCTGCTCAAGGGAACCATAGGTATCTAACCAACATTAAAACAGAAAAGCCAAATGTGCGTAAACATAAAGACTAAGACAGGCAAGACGCACCTTGGGTTTGTGAGAAAGCTGCATAACGTCCCCAAGCATCCACTCATTTTCATATGCCATGGCAATTCTTGAAACACTCTCCAAAAAATGTTCTGTCGCTGGAAGTATCTGACCAAGACTAGGTGAAAATGTGTTTTCTTGAGATTCATTGGGTTCTGACAAGCATCTGGACTGCTCTCCCTGACAGGCATGGTTATATCTATTTTAAAATCAATTACAGTTTAATGCTTCTGACTTTTTTGTATATGTCCATAGTGTAATAAAAACATGACAGCTCTGTAGCCATAATTACAAAATAAAATTCAAGGTAGCTTGAAAAAAATTATTTTAATTAGGTATATATGACAGCAGAATGCATTTGATTCATTATACACAATTGCAGCACAACTTTTCATTTCTCTGGTTGTACATGATGTAGTGTCCCACCATATGTGCACTAAGACCCTAGATACACCTAGGGTAATGATGTTCATTTCATTCAACCATCTTTCTTTCCCCCATAGTCCTTCCCTACTACTCCTTCCCCTTTGCCCCATCAAAGGTCCTCCATTTTTCCCATGTCCCTCCCCCCCATTATGGATCATCTTGCTAACTCTGTTACAAAGTTGTAGGTCAACAGCTTTTCTCAATCTTTGACAGTGGAAGTTTATCTTGGTACAGTTTCTAAAAAGAATAATACCAATCAGAATTAATTATATAGAACCTAGAACCTATGACTATGGTTAATAACTTATTATATATTTCCAAATCTCTAGAAGAAATAATTTTGAATATTTTCAACACAAAGTATTTGAGATGATGCGCATACTAATTACCCTGACTTAATCATCACATGTTGTATATAGCTATCAAAATATCCCACTGTTCCCCATGTATAATAATTATGCCTATTAATAATAATTTTTTAAAAATCCCAGAGCCAAAGAACAGCAGAACTTCAACCAAACACACATTTCTAGTCCTGGCTATGTACTTATTAGTGGCTAATAGCAAACAGCACACATATTCAAGCTTCATGCTTTTACAATTCACAGGACAGAATCAAACACCAATTGCTGAAGAACCCTGAATATCCTTCCTAAACAGTTTTCTGTTATCTTAAGACATTGAATAGAATGGACAGTTTAAAGAAATATCTCAGGTCCTCAGCTTGGAACTCTGGAGGGCAGAACACTAGAATTGTTGTCAAACCAGATGTAGACACTATCCTTGTTTATAAGAAATGAACTACTCAACTTGGCTCAGCCCCACAGTGGCTTAAGATGCTATACCTGCACTCCAGCTCCTTCTCAGAGGAAGTAGTGCACCCTCTCTGCAGGAGAATATTATTCTAGCCATGCAGTGTTTCATATTAATGTTCAATATCCCACCCAAATTGGGGCTGGGGTTGTGGCTCAGCGGTAGAGCACTCGCCTCACAGGTGCGAGACCCTGGGTTCGATCCTCAATACCGCATAAAAATAAATAAGTGAAATAAAGATATCATGTTCAACTACAACTAAAACTAAATATTAAAAAAAATCCCACCAAAATTTTTATCAGGTGTTATCAAGAAATTGAACAAAATGAAGAAAAAAACCCACAAGACAATAGAAGCTGACTCACAGAAGACCTAGACATAGAAGTTCTAAAATGTGGGATTATAAAAACATTATGATAAGGGTTTGGAAATGTAGTTCAGTGGTTGAACACTTGCCTACCATGCATAAGGCTGTGAGTTCAATCCCCAGTACTGCAAAATAAAACAAGACCTCCCAAAAAAATCACTGTGATAAATATTACCAGGAAAACAAGTGACAAGGTAGAAATATTTCATTGTAGGGCTGACAATTATTTCAAAGGATCAAAAGATCAGATAGAAATTCTAAAACTAAAGGGTAATGAAGGGAAGGGAAGAGGGATGAGAATAGGAAAGACAGCAGAAAGAATTGGTTATAGCTTTCCTATGCTCATATATGAATACATGACCAGTGTAACTCCACATCATGATATTCAGCCACAAGGATGGGATCAAAATTGTAATAGGTTGCACCCCATGTATGTATAATATGTCAGAATTCACCCTACTGTCATGTATATCTAAAAACAAAACAAAAAATAAGGCTGAATTGAAATTTGAACTGATAGGTTTAGCAACTGATTGGACACAGCAGATCAGATGCATGAATTGGAAGTTATTTCATTAGAAAATATTCAGATTACAGCACAAAAATAAAAGAAATGTGGGGTTGGGGATGATCCTTAAGCTGACTTCACTGCAAAACTTGGAGAAAATGTAGATGGACATAAATATCATAGTAATTTGTGAATGCTACATACCCTGACCATGTAGAAATAAGAGAGCAATGGCCAATGGGAAGAGAATGTTGAAAGAAGGTGGACTCCTGAGCAAGATTCCTAGTTTCCTAATATTTAATAGCAGGAAATAGATATTTAAAGTTGACTATTCAAACTACAGAGATTGAAGCACATCTAAAAAACAAAGGTAAACAGTAAGAAAGCTAATACTAGTGACTAAAATTAGATATTGGAAGAGAAAAAGAGGAATAAGAGTAGCAATTGGCAATGAAGAAAAAACACAAATAAAATAAAAATCAGAAAAATAAAATAAGTATATATACCTAAACTCCATTTTCAAGGCCAAAATAGGGGGAGACCAAAAACTCAGGAGGAAATGGATTAAGGATATTAACAAAGTTCACAAAAAAGGAAATGCAAATGGGCTTTAAACATATGAAATAATGTTAATCTTTTTCACTAAAATAAATCAAAATTAAAGCTACACTGACAGTTACAAGGATGCATTCATTTGTCAAATTTTTAAAGTGATATATATATTATCTGTCCATTTCACTGTATGTAAAATTTGCCTTTAAAAATCTATAAACAATATTGAATTTTAGTTATTACTATGCATGTTGATATATACTTATATCTATATCTTTCTTTGAAATGCATTAAACAGCAAGAATAATGGATAGGGGACTGATTATCAATAAAACAAATGTGGCAAAATATCACTGTACTGTGTACTTCTTTCAAATTTTCTTTATGTTTGAAAATGTTCAGGAAAAAATTCATTGTGGCAAAAATGAAAAAGCTTACTATCTCTGTTTACAAAGTTGTAGGTCAACAGCTTTTCTCAATCTTTGAAAGTAGAAGTTTACCTTTGTACAGTTTCTAAAAGGAATAAGACCAATCAGAATTAAAATGGATTTATCTTTAGAACAGCAATTTCCTCTATAGGAATTTAATTGAAAGTCATACTCAGGCATATGGAAAATGACAAAGCTACAGGGATATTTGTTCCATGATTGTTTGATTAACAAAATATTAGAAATCATCTTTTGGGGCTGGGGATGTGGCTCAAGTGGTAGCGCGCTCGCCTGGCATGCGTGCGGCCCGGGTTCGATCCTCAGCACCACATACAAACAAAGATGTTGGTCCGCTGAAAACTAAAAAATAAATATTAAAAATTCTCTCTCTCTCCCTCTCTCTCTCTTTAAAAAAATGTTCACTTTCCAATTCTCCAGACTTTGCTATTCTTAAAAAAAAAATAGAAATCATCTTTTATAGAAAAACGGTTTTACAGAAGTATGGTTAAGTATACTGTGGTATATCCATACAATGAAATATACTACAGCTATTAAAAAGAAAGAGACAGACTTGTATATATTGATATGTAATAATCTCCAAGATAAAACAAATTGAAAAAGTAAGATGTGGGACAGTTGGTATAATTGGCTTGCATGTGTATGAAAAACAAATATGTAATTTTCTTTCATAAGCATAGGATACCTATAGACAAGAAGGATGTAGAAGGATCTAAAAATAATAGCTACCTTTCTGAAGGTGAATTGGATCACTAGAAACTGCTTTTTCATTTTTAGGCACTTGGGTTGATTCTGTATCTTAGTTATCACAAACAGTGCTGCAGTAAACATGGGTATGTAGGTATTTCTTTGGTTTGCTGATTTAAATTTTTTTTGGATTTATATCCAGAAATTGGATAATTTGATCATATGATGGATCTATTTTCAGTTTTATGAGGAAACTCCATATTGTTCTCCATAATGGTTGTACTAGTTGACATTCCCACCAACAGTGTATAAGAGTTCCATAATAGATGAAGACAACATGGTACAGACACACAGTGGAATATTAAAGCCATAAAGAAGAATGAAATCCTGTCATTTACATTTAAACAGATGGAACTGGAGAACATTATGTTATGTTGAATGAAGCAAACTAAACACAGAAAGACAAGTACTATATATTCACTCAGAAGTGGAAGTTTAAAAAAAGTTGACCTGGATATAGAATAGGGGTTACTTGAGGTTGGGAACGAGTAGTGGAATGAGGATAAAGGGAGGCTGGATTTGATGAGTACACACTATATGCTTGTATTGAAACACTGCATTAAACCCTATTAATATATACAAGTAATACATGTTAATAAAAAAATTAAAAACCCTGCTTTTCCTTGTTTTCTTTTTATGCTTTTGAATTATGCACATGTATCATTTATATAAAAATGTTAAATCTAATCCTCAAAAAGTTAAAAATAGAATTACCAGGTGATCCAGCAATTCCACTTCTGTGTATATACCCCAAAGAATTGAAATCAGGGGCTCAAGGAGATTCGTACACTCATTTGTAGCAGCATTATTTACCATAGCTGATAGGATAGAGACAGCTCAGCTAACAAGTGACAGATTAATGGATAACAAAATGTCATGTGTTTATACAATGACATATTCAAACTTAAAAAGGGAGGGACATTATGGCATAGGATACAACATGGAAGAAACTTGAGATCAGTATGCTAAATGAAATAAGAGAGTCATGAAAGGACAAACACAGAATGAGTCCACTTATATACAAGGTCCCCAAAGTAGTCAAATTCATAGAGATGGAAAGAATAGTGGTTACCAATGGTTAGGGGTAAGGAGAACAGAGAGTTCAGATTAATGGATAGAGCATTTCAGTGTGAAACCATAAAGAAGTTCTGGGATGGAAGATAATGATGGTTGCACAACAATATAAATGTATCTGATGCCACTGGAATTGTACTTTTTCTCCCCAGTACTAGGGACTGAACTCAGGCTTCTCTTATGCCAGGCCTCTAAGCTACATCTGCAGCCCCGGAATCGTACACTTAAAAATAGTTAAGATGGGGTTGGGCACAGGGGTGCACGGCAATAAAGCCAACAATTTAGGAGGTTGAGGTAAGAGGATCATAAGTTCAAGGCCAGTGTCAGCAATTTAGTGAGACCCTAAGCAGTGAAACCTGTTTCAAAATGAAAAATAAAAATAAAAATAAAAAGCTACATCCTGGATGGGTGTATAGCTCAGTGGTAAAGCACTCCTGGGTTCAATCCCTGGTACCAGCACCAAAACAAAAATAAAACAAAATTCCTCCCAAATTGATTCCCCCCAAAACTGTTAAGGTGATAAATTTTATGTTATGTGCATTTTTGCTATAATATTTAAAGTTATATTTAAAAAGGAAAGGGAAAGGCAGCACGAGCTGACAGCATGGCAGCTCCCAGCCCTGCACCAGGAAGAAGCTGCCAGGGCCAATGCTTTTTGCCAGGAGAGATCAGGACCGGGGCTGAGCATCTCAGGAAATAACAATTCTTCCTCTGTCCCATTCTGTTTCAGTTGCTCCAGGGCCACTGCCAGCACAGTGATTCTCTCTGAGTGAAAGGCCATGCTGTTCTCACTGGCTCTGGGCTGTGATGTCCTGCTGCTCCCCCTTCTTCCTGGAATAGCCTGACCCAAGGTCCTTCTGAAGTGGTGACCACTCCAAAAGCAGGTCAGTGGCCCAGTGAGTAGGTAAGAAGAGGCAAGGTCTGGAATAAGCTTTGAGAATGCTTACACAGCCATGTTCTTAAAGCTCAGATTGGGGGTGTGTATCCTCACTTTGCCTTTCACAAGAAGAGGAAGGGATATGTAGAGATCTTGGGTTTGTAATGTAGGACCTCGGGTAAATCATTTTTCTGCTCCGTGATTCAGTTTTCACATTCATAAAATGGACGTATTGATGCCTGGCTAACTAGCTTCCAGGGCAGTCATGAAGTTTAAAAACAAAACTGGATGTGACAGCACAGTATGAATACTAGTGCTATGAAAGTTCAGAGATGAGTACAGGAATGCTTGTTATGAATGGAGAGAACTGCAATTGGCCCTTTATCTTGAGGTTCTCCTTCCCTGCAGGAAGCAGCTCTGCCCACCCTCGCCTGCTCCCAGAGTTCGTATATCATTTCAAGTACTTACTGACTGCTCACTGGGGCCAGGGACTGTGCTGAGTTTTTACACTTAAGTTTTATTGCTTATAATATTCACACTCTTGTAAAGCATGCATTGTTTCCTGCAGTCAGCAGGAGGAAAATCAGGTCCTTGAAAAGTCAGTAAACCTCCTTAAGATGAATGAGTGGTCAATGATGGTGAGTTGCCCAGACTTGCTCTGCAGAGCAGCAATGGGGCTTCAACTCCTTCTGACTGCCAAAATTTTACTTCCCATTGCGCCTGCAATTTTCAAATGGTGTCACCTGAGGCCTGCACAGAGGGAAAGGAAACATAGACCCTGCATGGCTCCTTTCCTCTGACATAACAGCAGCTTCTCTTCATCTGTTCATACATTGTGTTTGACATTCAGTTTTATTTGAAAAATTCATTGCCTAATTTTAAAAATGCATTTGATTGTGTTCAAATGTTGGGTTGACTAAGTGGAAAGCATTATTCTCATCTTCTTCCTGAACGGCTTCAGGGAGTGAAGGCAGCTGCAAGGGCTCTAACCTCAAGCTGCCCTCAGCCCCACTTGAGCCCCACCCCTGTTGGGAATCATTGTCACATTTCCCATCCACCCTGGGAAGGAATAGGCTGCACAGTTAGAGACACCAGTTAGGGCTATGACCATGTGGCTCCCTTAAAAGGTATGCATATAACCTCTTCCCTTTCTTATCCTCCTGTGGGTGCCCTGAACAGCAGGTTCTTGCTTGGGGTGGTAGTCGGGGACAGAAAAAAAAAAAAGATATCATCATTCTGTACTGATCCAAAGAAGTGGCCCTAACCTTCCCCTCTCCATTGCCCTGGCTCTCCACAGGGGTGGAAAATGGTACCAGTCAAGCCTGAGCCGCAGGAGGAGCCTACAGTAGCCGCCAGGAGATGGAGGAGCCCACGCCTGAGCCTGTCTATGTCGATGTGGACAAGGGGCTGACCTTGGCCTGCTTTGTCTTCCTTTGTCTCTTCCTCATAGTAATGATCATTCGCTGTGCCAAGGTCATCATGGACCCATACAGTGCCATTCCCACATCTACTTGGGAAGAGCAACACCTGGATGACTGAGGCACAGAACAGCCACATGGGGGCAAGACCCTGGTGCTCTCTGGACAGTGGTGCCCCAACATGCCCCTCAGAGTGCCTGGCTATCCACTTGCTGGCCCACAGAGGCAAGGAGTGGATCTGGCCACCAGAGATGGAGAAGGTTCACTTTAGTCTTGCCTACTTTCACAGGAGTGCCACAGGGAGATGCTCCAGTATTGAGGATGCAGGAAACTACGGCCCCCGGAGAGGAGAGCACTGGTCTGGGACTCAGGAGGCTAGTTCCATGCTCGGGTGCCACTATAAGACTGTGGGGTGGTCACCTAGACACCCCCACCACACAAAAGTGGTCTGTACTTAAAATGCAAAATAGCACATGGAGGCTCCCAGCAGAGATGTCCCTCCAGAAACCATGATCCTTCCCATGAACTAGTGATGGAGCAGGCAGTGAAGGATGAAAGGAGGCTCAGAGTGCCTCCCTGAAAATTCACAAAAGGCACAGAGGCTGCTTCCAAGCAGTATTTTTTTTTAAACTAAAATATAGAGGGATATATTTTTCCTGTAATAAATGAAATGTGCATTTTAGAAACCCGGGAAAATACAGAAAACTTGAAGGAAAAGGGAAAAATAGCACAGTCCCACCTTCCAGAAGTCACCATTTTGATATATTTCTTCCACCCTTTTTTAACACATTTTTTAAGTCAAATTCATACAGTATGCATGATGCCGAGTTGCTCCATGTGAGAGCACAAGACCTCCCATTTCGTCACTGTTTGTCACTTGTTTCTAGTAACCAGAAAGCATTCCCTCGGGGAGTTATGTCATGATTTAATAATTAACTTCTTTGGTTGTTCATTTAACTTTTCCACTAATTTCTCCTCACACAAAATTACTTCATCCAGTCACCTTTTAAGGGGGATAGCTGGGCTCCAGTCCTTCTTTAGCTGTTCAAAGTCTTGTAACCTTGAGCAAGTCACCTCACTTTTTGGTGCCTCCATTTTCTTATTTTAAGACAAGGAGGGAAGACTTTGTTTCTTTTCCTTTTTTCATTTCTTATTTACTTCATATGAATGAAAGTATAGGAGAGGGAGATTTTTGCTTATAAATGTGCTATAGAGGGAGGGGTGGTCAAGGAATAAGTTTTTGACAATGACTCTTCTGTGGGTCTCACATGTTTTCTCTCATATGTGGAGATAAAACAAAAACCAAAACAAAACAACCTGAAAGCAGAAGAGGTTCTTTTAGGGGATATGTAGAAGACTGGCAGAAGAAAGGGCAAAGGAGACTAGTAAGGAGGGCAGACATTATCAATATGATCAATATACAATATATGCACGTATGGAAACATAATAGTGTTAATTTGTACAATTAATATGTGGTAATAATAAAACAGTCAACCTGAAAGTAACAAGGTGATTATTAGGGACTTGGAAGTGTGCTGTGGGGAATAGGGAAGGATCAAAGAAGACAGTCCAGAGACCGATATGATCAATGCACAACTGTCTGCATGTATGGAATTGCCAAGTGAATCCCATTAATGTGTACAATTAATATGTGTCAATAAAAGTTGACATAAAAAATTAAAATCAACTGAAAATTTAGGAGAAATTAACTAACCAAAGAAAAGTCTGTGAAGCACTAGAAAGGGATTGGATCTTTGGTAAGTCTTAAGAAAATACTTGACAAAAAGGAGAGTATAGATTTATACTTGAGAGTCTGCCTTAGTCTGAACAATGCTTGTGTCTGGTGCCCCTGAGACAAGCTAAAAACAGATTTGGCACCTGGGAAAAATGGGTAAAAACAACTCAACGTGACCAGTATCTCCTGGCCTCTACTCCTTCCAGCCAATATTCTCAGTGTGTGATTATTGACCCAGAAGGCTCTGGTATGGTACTTCCTCTGTCTCTGTCTCTGTTTCTTGCTCTGGCTTGAAGATCACCTCAGGTTTGTTAATGCAGCACTTTTTTTTTTAAAGATTTATTAATCAGCTTTATTGGTTCTTTTTAGTTATATATGACAGTAGAGTGAATTTTGGTATAAATACACAAGCATGGAATATATCTTATTCTAATTAGGATCCCAGTTTTGTGGATGTACACAATGGTGAGATTCACTGTGGTGTATTCATTATGTACATAGAAAAATTATGTCAGAATCATTACATTGTCTTTTCTTTTCCTATTACCACTCCCTTCCCTTCATTCCCCTTTGTCTAATCTACTGAACTTCTTAATGGGAAATTATGTAGGACTTTACCAAACAGCTAACTCATGTCTTCTGAAGTATGACATGTTTAACTTTAGGAACTGTTCATTCAAGGGGCCAAATTAAATATTTCCTTAAAAAATTGTGACACACATTCTTCATGTACTGGGAATCTTACACCTACATAACACTGAACCTTAGAAATTATTCCTGTATTTATCAACAAAAAAGAAAGTGCTTGGGGAATTTCACTTGCCCAATGACAATAGGTTGCTGTAGCTTTCCAGTACCACATTCTGTACAGAGTCCTGTTAGCACCATCTAGGTCCTTCCACTCCTTTAAGATGAAGTTCATAGCTACATTCTCAGATGATACCAATCCCTGAAATGGCACTTTTTCCCTTAACTCAAATCATCATCTCTGGGTCACAAGAACATGACTCGTGGTAGCTTATTCCATGTTTGCATATCTTATATAAGATAGAGCTTGATTTGTGCTCTATATGAAGGGAGAAAGAAACATCATGGTAGTAATATCTTGCATGAGTACAAAAACTAAATTTGTGCAAATACTAAAAATTTTAGTACAAGTACTAAAAATACTATTATAAACTTTCCATTATAGACTCAGAATTGTTCTTGTTGCTTTGACAAAAATTCCAATTTCCTTATGATCTAGTGTGAAGACACAAATACATACATGGAAATAATGTTACATGAACTAATTTAGACAAACGTTCAATCAACTTAAGTCAGCATGACAAAGAAGTACAAAGAGTAGCTTTTAAAAATGTAGTCCCAGGGACTGGGTTTGTGGCTCAGTGATGAAGCACTTGCCTAGCATGTGTGAGGCACTGGGTTTGATTTTCAGCAACACATATAAATAAATAAAAATAAAATTCTATCAAAAACTAAAATAAAAAAATAATGCAGTCCCAGCTGAGCATGGTGTCACATGCCTGTAATCCCAGCAACTCAGAACATTGAAGCAGGAGGAGTGCAAGTTCAAAGCCAGCCTCAGCAACTTATTGAAGCTTTAAGAAAATTTAAATAAATAAACAGATAAATAGGGCTGGGGGTGTGGCTCCGTGATTAAATGCCCTTGGAGTCAATTCCCACTATCAAAAAAAAAAATGCATCCCAATTTTCTCTCCCTTTTTCCTTCCCCTGTTTTCTTTCTTCTAACTTGTTTTCCTCCTATTTATTTGTTGGTTTTTAAATTGGTGCTTTATAGATACATATAAAGGTAGAATTCTCTGAGGTTTATTCATGTATATACATAGAATGATTTTGTCAATTTCATTCTGTAGTTCCTGTCCTTTCCTATCCCTCTCCCCCATCCCCTTCTTCTACTCCACTGATCTCCCTTTCACTTTCATGGGATCTCCCTTTTAAAAATTTTACTCTAGTTCCACATTTGTGAACCCCAGTATTATGTATAACTATAATGTACTAATAAAATAATAAAATATTTTAATTTAAAAGATTAAAAACATTTTAGGGTTATGTATAATATAAGAATATGAGTTGAAAAACTTGATTCACACACCACATGCACACAAAACTTTTTGTATTATCAAGTTGCACTTTACTGAAAAGCCAAAGATATTTCAAACTTCTCCATGAATTTGTTCTCATGAACAAGAAGATGCAATAGCAACATGAAAGCACAAAGAACTTATGCCAGGTTAATGGACCTATAAATAGTTCCATACTAGGTGAGTGTTCCTTGGCTGTGATGAGACAAGCAGTAAGCATGTTTGAGGAACTTATAAGCAAGCAAATTCACTTTTAAATAATTACCTAATTCTAACAATAAAAACATTCATGTGCTCACTGTTATTAATGAATTCTTTAGTTCCTGCCTTGGCATCCTATATTTTTCTTATGTATCTAAAAGACTTGCTAGTGTCCACATAAGGCTGGACACCTTCATCCTAAAGCAGAGAGTGTATAATGAGAGGCCAATAAAAAGTGATGTTGTTGATCAAGTTTACGTTCTCCTCATAAAAGAATGGAAATGGGTGTCAGGGAGAGTCAAAGTAGAAGAAAACAGGGGACAGGTGATCACCTCTCAGGCCACAGAATAATAAAAATACATAATAGGAAACTCATCCTAGGAAAGAAAACAAGAAAAGAATAAGAGAAGAAAAGAAAAAAAAAAGTGATGTTTTTAGTTAGCTTTTCATTTCTGTGACCAAAATGAAGAAAAACTAAGAGAAGAAAAAGTTGATTTTGGCTCACAGTTTCAGAGGTCTCAATCCACAGATGACCACCCCCTATTTCCCTGGACCCAAGATAGAAGAAAAACATCATCACCAAAGGGTGCTGTGGAGGAAAGCTACACCCCTCATGGTGGGGTCAGGAACAATGGGAGGCCCAGGGAAGATGAACCATTTCAGGACACACCCAGGACCCAGCTCCTCCAGCCACACCCCACCTTCCCAAAGTTACCACCCGGTCAGTCCATTTAAACTAGGATGGATTGATTAGCAGTTTCATAGGCTCAGGGTATGTTTGTTTATTCTGGGGGACACAAATCAACCTCTTTTAGATATAAGAATTTGAGTAACTTACTAAAACAATACAGTTAGTAATAGCAGAACAGAGATGTGAATCTAAGCAGTCGGACTCTAAAGCTCATGTTCTTAGCCACCAAGAAATGAAGGGATGAGTCCAGGCAAGATTTCTCTAGATGTATAGTGAAGGATGAGTGGGAGAGGAAGTAGGTGACACATAGGCCAACAAGGAATTTATTATAAGGACACTGGAAAGACACTAAAGAACACCTGGACTAATTAATACATTGACAAAATTGATGGAGAAAAGGGCAGGAAACCCTATAACCCATCTTTGTTATTTGTTTCTCCCCAGCCTTCCATTGTTAGAGCAGATGATATTTAGGGGCTGTATTATGCCTTTTTTGATTACTATGAGGAATATGAGATAAAGAGTTGTGACCTGTGCCTAGAGAACTAGCTAGGAGATCTCTTACCTCTTTTCCTCTCCTTGTACACACACTTAAGTAAAACTGGTAAACATGAATTTCCAAAGGTGGTCTGGATTTGAGTATGTACATTTGTCAGCATTGGCTGCCATAACAAAATATCATGACTAAGTGGCTTTAACAACGTAACTTTCTCATAGCTCTGGAAATCCAAGATCTTTGATCAATAAGTTGCAGATCCAAGAGAACAAATGATACAGTTACACTCTTGAATCTAAAAGCCTGAGAATCAGGAGAGTCATTGGTGTAAGTTCCAGTAAGGTCCTAGTCCAAAACCAGGAGAAAAGTAACCCAGCTTGAAGACAGACAGACAGAATTCTTTGTTATTCAAATTTTTATTCTTTTCAGGCCTTCAAAGAATTGGATAAACCCCACTCACATTGGGGAAGTCAATCTCTTTTACTCAGTCTGCTTGTCCAAATGAAATGCTATTCTTATCTGGAAATACCCTCATGGGCCACAGAAAGAATAGTTAATCAAATATATGGGCACTCTGTGGCTCAGACAAATTGGCACATAAAGTAAACCATCACAGGTTTATTTGGTCATATGGTCATATTCTAAAATTTCATTGCTGCAAACTATTTAAAATTCATATTTTATTATATAATTATTTAAATAGTTCTAAGTATTAGTCTTAGAAATATAGTAAATTCTCAAATATAGTAAATTCTTTAAAAAACCAGAGTAGTATAATCAAACTATTCTAAATCAGTTTATATATTTTTTTTGTCTTACAATAGAACTTTTTAATGAATGATAAATAATTTGTTGTACCAATTTACCAAAATGAGAAATAGTTGAATAAAATTTTTATTCAAATATATCATTACAATATTACAAACTTCCCTCCACAAATATATAAATTTATGTGCCCATAATACTGTTATTTATATCTGTAAATATCTATGCATTAGTTATAATTCAGTGAGATATAAGAATAAAATTTTGAGAGAATTATATATGTTATTGAAAGCACACTGCATCCTCTGAAAACCCACCTTAGTCTTTAATACTTTTCTTAATATGGCTGAGAAATACATTCATGCAGCTGAGTCTTGGAGTTTTTTTGTATATGTGAATTGTGCCCCTGAGGACATTGTTATAAGGAAAGGATGCTATCAGTTCATTTCCTTGCAGGCTCATAATTTTCAAGTCAGTTCTACAAGCAAGCAAAGTCCTGGCCCTGAATTGTTAGGGAAGTCACCAAAGGGAAAACTATTTCCTTATTTCCTGGAGATCAGCAGAGTAGGAACAGCTAAAAATCCAAAATTTATTATGTGTATGCTCATTTTCTTTAGTAAATGTTCTCAGGTGGGTTGACTGGACTTAGTTCCTGTCAATATTGTTAAATAATAATTCTTCTTTTTAAATTTAATTTTATTTGTTCTTTTTAGTTATACACAACAGTAGAATGTATTTTGGAATATTATACATTCATGGAGTATAATTTATTCTAATTAGGATTCTATTCTTGTGGTTGTACAAATATCCTAGTCATGTATTCAAATACAAGGTTAGGAATATTATATCTGATTCTACTGTCTGGAGGATATTTCTCTCCCCTCCCCATTCCAGTCATTTCCCTTTGGACTTCTATTCCTTCAATGGACTTCTATCCTTCCTCTTCCCACTCTCTCTTCTTGTGGGTTAGCATTCACATATCAGAGAGAACCTTCATCCTTTGTTTTTTTGATTAGCTTACTTCATGTAGCATGATTGTCTCCAGTTCTGTCCATTCACCAGCAAGTGCCATAATTTCATTGGTATAAGTTCCAGTTAATGAGATGGAATTTCAGTGTAATTTTAACTTACGTTTCTCTGGTTGCTAGAGATGTTGAACATGTTTTCATATTTTTTTTTGTCCATTCATATTTCTTCTTCTGTGAAGTGCCTGTTCAGTTTTTTTGTCCATTTATTGATTGGGTTATATGGTTACATAATAATTCTGACTTCAATTTATTTTTCATTCAATGTCATATCACTAATACATCTTTGTTTACTAAAGAGATTTCTGGGGGACTTCACATATGTTCTCCTGTAGTCTCTGGATTTTGGGATCACAAGAAGTCTGTATGTCACTTTTTGGGGAATGAAGAAAATGCCTCTTTTACCAGAACTACAAAGGCTCTTTCAGATATAGTGCTAAGCTGAGGACACTGGCATAGGAAGCAGGATAGTGACAAAATTTTATTTCTATACCCAAACTAATTTGGGAGCATGCTTTTTGAACAACAAAAAGAGTTCTTTATTTATAAAACAAGAGGGCTGGCATATGTGCTTTCCTTCCAGTAGCCATATAAACTGGGGACATCCAGGCTCCCATGATGGTGTATTTTTTCACCCATATCTCAATTTTTTCTGTTGTTTTCACTCAGCATTTTAGTATGTACAATCAAATAATTAGAGCATCCTTAGCAACTGCCAGATTTCAATCACTTCTGTGACACTCATCAACCACACCTCTATTCTAGCTAACTTTAGAATTATACTTAATTATGACTATCACATTTGCAGTTCCATTTTTAATAAAAATATCATTTGATATTCAAAGTATAAGACTTGTCCTTCTCACAGAAGGCTCTAACTCTAAACCTGGCTGTGTTCAGCCTAGTATACTTTTTCATGTTATTTTTTTATTCTCTAACAAACAGTGGAACACTTTATTAGTCAAATATTATCTAATGATAAAGTGCTGATTTTCCTCCCATTGATCATATAGACCTTGCCACAAATGCACTAGATCTAAGCATGTTTATGTTCAGGCTGGAACTTGTTACTTGCCATCTTTGATGCTTTAATAAGTAGATCATCTATTTGACTTGATCCCCAGACTTTTTGTACCATTCTTGTTCTTTTTACGTTAGGCATTTCAACTATAATATGTCATGGACTGTTCTTGTATATTCTGATCATAATTACTTATTTTCTTTAATATTATCTGAATATTCAAGTCTAGTTACTTTGTTTTTCAGCTTTGAGAGTCTGTCTTCTACATAGTAAATTAATTTAAAATTTTGATTCATTGTGCTTTTCATTTACAAGATTTTTATTTGGATCTTTTTCATTATCTATCGCTTTGTTGGATTTTCATTCATATTCTGTACTGACTTTCTTAATTCATCTAGTTATTTTTCTGTGTTCTTTTGGAATTTGTTGATAATTTTTTATAATCATTCTTTTGAATATTTTATCTGGTATTTCACCCACTTTGAGACTGTGGGGGTCAATTGCTGGTGAATTATGAACCTAGGAGGTATAATATTACCTTGCTTTTTCATATTTCTTGCTTTCCTGTGTTGATATTTGTGAGTTTATTGGGTTGGATTTCTCTTCAACTCTTATCTGTGGCTCTTTTTAGGACAGGGCCTTCTATTGTTAAAGTGTTCAGGTTTTGTGAATTTAAATGTGTTTCCAAATGTGTTTTGTAGTATAGTTTCCCTGCTAGTTCTTTGGTAACAGTTCTGCTGCTAGTACTTTGATGTGTGAGATGTGTCAAAGCTTGAGAGTCCACTTTTTCTTTAGTCCTTACAGAGTGGGGTCCTTCTTGTATATTAGGTCAATGTGTTGCTTAAGTAGGGCATATGGGGTACATCCTCTGTGATTGCTTCTCTAGAATTGACGACTCTGTATGTTCTAATAAAGTATGGAGGCAGACGGAAGGCCCGGCCCTCGCTCTGCTCAGCACAGGTGGAAGTCCTGGCTGTGCGGCACTCGCTCAGCACAGCACAAACGGAAGGTGGTGCAGAACAGAGGCTTTGCTTGTGGGTCTCCAGACCAAGGTCTGGTCACAGCACAAGGTTACCCCAGCACCCCCACCTCACCAAATACCCTATACAGTTAACAGATGGAATCCATTTTGGAAAACCTTACTCGCCATCTATCAGTGGCTATCAGCACAGTTCTGAGGCTGATCAGGTACCCAGTTTCCAACTCCCCCACCCCCATGGTGATAATTCAAAATATTTCCCACAAGCTTTTGGAAGGCGTATCTATCAATGCAGAACAGCAATTGTACAGGCACCTGGTTTCCAACTCAGAGACTAAGTGTAGGGAGGCTCCCTGTAGAAGCTCAAGCCCTTTCACACTGGCTACCTTCACCACCCTGAACGCAGAGACTCAAGCCAGGAATAGACAACTCCACTTACTGGAAGAAAAGAAAACAGAGTTCTGAGACTTTTTTTTCTTTGTTTTCTTTTCTTGCTCTTCTCATCCAATCTTCTCTACACTTCCCCCTCTAGTCCTCACACCTCAACATATGTGAATCCAAGAACTTTGCATGAAATTCAACTTTAAGAACTGAATCACCAGAATAATATAATATAGAGGAATTGCGTAGGCCCCACCTCATCCCCCCTTTAGTTTTCTCTTATTTTCTTTCTCCCTCTCTTTCTTTCTTTCCTTGTTATTGTTTTCTCTTTTCTTTTTTTTCTTCTTTTTTCTTCCTCCCTCTATCCCACTTTCAACTTCCTCTTTTACTATTTATATGTAGGGTAATTTTCTAAATACAGATACGGAGTTTGAAGTTATACATTCTTCCATAAATTATCCCTGTCTATTCATTAGAGTTCTCCTAATTAAGTTAGAGTAATCCCATACCCTCACTCCTTTCCCCCTTAACATGATGTCCTATGCCTGATCCTCAGTTCTCTAAGTGTCACCAGAAATGATATGCCTCTTATGAAACTAATGACTATATTCTAAATAATAATTGAAGCCAACATCTGTAGACATAGAGTCTAACTATACATGTTTTAATAATGAAAACTTGCTCATAGATGATGTATTATTGATATTGGAAACTGTTAACACTGTTTTTCTCCACAAGAGAAAGAGATTTTGGAACTATATAAGAGCAATATAAATATATAGGGGGGAAATATTAACACAATAGTCACATAGAGCTGGAAAGAAATGTGAGCAATATGAAAAGACAAGGAAAGAAAGGACCACAAACAATGCAGGACAAGTCAAGATTAGAAGAGGTAACATCTAAAGCAGAAGGAATGTCAGATAAAGA